TTCTCAGAGATCCAATCACCAAACCTTTCAATAACGAATTCACCCGTATATTTCTTGAGTTAAAAAATTTCGTTCTCGCTCTTTCCCTTCGCAATTAAAGCGCAAAGAAGATACAGATCATGATGCGGCTCCAATTAATTTCTTCTCCGGCAAACTTTTCTTTCAAACGTGTGATAAGCTGATCGGGACAGAAACCACTAAACGTTGACAATTCAGGAATATATTCTTTTTCGATCTTAGTAACGGTGAGTCCCACGTAATTTTATCATTTACTATATATTCTATGTAAGCATCGCTTAATTTTTTTGCTTGTCCGGCAACCATGTTAAATGGAGATAAGAAAACTTGATCTTTTTCTACTCAATGAATTATATACACATATCACAAAGAGTTACGTATCGACTGTGACGTAGTAACACAAACAAGTTCGGACATGTCCGAAATGACGTCATAAATTTATTATTCATATTTTCTATAGGATTAACGTCTATAAAGGGTCGTCAATAGACATAATAAAAATATAATACATGTATTGAAAAACATCGTATCCAGTTTTACCACTACGTCATAAATTACTTATTCATATTTCAAAGTCCGGTAAAAGAAAACAATAGGTCTTCGACCGGAAGTTAAGGTCACAAGGTCATTTCCATTGTTCTAAATATCGATGAGTAGTGCCCTAAACAAAAGAATTGAGGGGAATAGGAGGGAAGAGAACAATAGAATTCTTTTCATATGCAAATTATTTCTTTTGTTGGACTATGTACTAAATCTTTCTACTAGCGACGGACATTTATATACTATCTATAATCAAATCGACTATATTACTTGTAATGACAGATACAGGGGATTACTTAAAAACTCAAGATCATACAGTGGGACATTGACTTATAGCGATCATAGGATTGTGATTATTAGCTTGTACCATTCAAATCAAAGAAGAGGAGATTAAACAAAGTTTAAAACAACTAAACAATAACAGAGCGGTTGGCGAAGACATGATAGCAGGAGAACATCTTAAATACGGCGCGGACATACTTGCCCCTGTTATTGCGTACATAATGTATTTAGAGAGCATAAACACCTAAATATAAATAATGGAACACTAATTGTACTACATAAACCAGGTAAAGAAAAAGGACCAACTAACAATTTAAGACCAGTTATATTGTTAAACACAATAAGGAAATATCTCTCAATAACTATCATGAATAGAATTAGGGACAAAATCGACAACTACCTACATATCAGCGGATTTCGCAAAGGTAGGAGTACTAGTGACGTGTTATTTTCTTACAAATGGTTCATAGCAAAGGCATTTAAATACAAGATGGAAATACATAACAGGCATCGAATTTTCAAGCGCGTTTGATACTATCCACAGAGACAAACTTTTAGAGATTCTAAAGGAAATCATAGACGAAGATGAACACCGCATAGTCAGATTTCTACTTAGCCAGACGGGACTTAACGTATGTATCAAAGGTGCATCAGAGATATTCTCACTAGAATCAAACATTGGAACACCGCAAGGCGATAGTCTATGCCCCATCCTATTTATAGTGTATCTGGAACACGCACTTAAATATCTTCGATTGGAACGAGAAGTGGACTTTCCAATAGAACTTGCATACGCCGACTACGTGGATTTTGTGAGTTTAGAGAAAAGAAACAACATAGATGACATTGAACAACACATGTCAAATTTTAATCTTAAAGTCAACAAAGAAAAACCGAGTACACTATTATAAAAAGAGATGAAAATGAAGAATGGAGAAAAACCAAAAAAATAGGATCACTTCTCGGAGATAGCGAAGATATCGCACGCCGTAAGCAACTCGCGTCAGTATCATTTAATCCCCTTTATACTATATGGATAAGAAAGGATAAAGTTAAAGAAAAAGTCAGACTAAAGTTATATAATGTCCTAGTTAAACCAATCCTAACGTACAACTCTGCAACATGGGGATTAACTAAAGAGGAAGAACGAAAACTTGATTCATTTCATAGGAAGCATCTTAGAAAAATTATAGGAATTCGTTACCAACATAAAATCAAAAACACAAAATTATATGATCGGTGCAAGGTGAGACCAATCTCATTAGACATTCTTGAATTTGGATGGAGACTTTTCGGTCACATTCTTAGATTGCAAAGGGAAGTCCCAGCTAATAAGGCAATAAACTACTATTTCGAAAACTCTAAGCATAAGAAATATAGAGGACGATCACGAACCACACTACCAGTTACTCTATCGAACGACCTGATCACCCTTCACAAACAATTACCATCTGCACTACCGCCCATGATCAATAATTTAAAAGATGTAGAAACAATACGAAGAATCGCAGAAAGCAGACATGATTGGAGAAGAGTAATCCTAGACATAAGCAAAGCAGCCGAGGCGGGAAAGTCATCCGACTATCTGGTGGACCGGCAGTAAAGTAAGTAAGTAAGTAGTAATTTAACCAACTGCCAGTTTGGACAAGGATGTAATGCATCACCATTATTATTTTGAATATACATTTCTGATTTAAAATTATTTTCTTGTTCAATCTTGGAATTTCCTTGGAGGAATCCAGTTTGGTTCCCTGGTTATACAGAAGTGAATGATTGGATATACATCGATGATATTGTTTTGCTTGCAGAATCACTAAGTTAATAATTTATGTAGTAAACGCTCTTGAAATTTATTATTGTGATATGTGGGATTTGGATGTTAAAACGGGGACAAATAAGCCATCATTTTTTAGAAGGGGCGCAATAGTGACCAAAGATGAACGATGGACATATAATTATCTTAGTTTTAAAATAAGATCATGGACACTTAATACGAATATTGACCAAGAATAAATAGGTATTTTTAAGATCAAAAGTTTTCTTAAAGTTAATTGTCTCATTAACCCTGGTTTGAAAATGTATCTATTTCACTCCATGGTTGTACCTATTCTTCTATACGGCTCAGAAGTATAAGGTTGTGACAATTGTGTTAAATATGAAATACCGTAACACATACAAAATATTGCAACCCTTACGCCACCAATATCAGCAGAACATTGGGAAAGCTTGGGCGTCCCCCGCTGCCGCTATGTATAAAAGTGAATAAAAAAGTGGCCTCCTATTGGTTAAGAGTAATAACTATGGAACTAAACCGGCTTCCTTTTAAATGTTATAATAGGCAATTAGTATAATTAAATCATACACTATTGGAAACCATTATAGGAAGATTAGATTAATGCTTTACATTTTTTGAATGCATTTATCTATCCTAAGTATAATAATTTCCACTAGTGTATGAATTATAAGCACTTTACCGATTTCTTTATTAGTCAATCGCTGTCTTTAAATTTTAGTTTTGCATTGTAATTAAACTGTTGCAGAAGTTATCGGTTGCTAAATTGATTTGAAGTACATTTGTGCGCGTATGTACATTTAGCTGTGCACAAAGATGGTAGTTGCTACTGAGGCTTATCTTCATAAGAATGGACCAGGGGTGGCGCCAGCGGTGGGGGGGGGGGGTCCCCGGGGGGGGGAGCGGCCCCCCC